TTATCGTTCTTTGCCCGATTTCTGTCGCAAAAGTTACACACAATACGCAGGCAGGCGCGCCTTTGCTCGAAAAGCAGAAAATCATTCTCCTGCAATGTTGAGTAATGACATGTGCTTAGTCTTTTTTTTTCACAAAGAAAAATCACTTTGGAAATAAGACAACGGCTAAAAGAACAAACGCCCAACCCAAACACGTTTGAGCTGAGTCATTCTCAAAGGTATTTATCTCAAAATGTCAGTTCCACTTTAGAACAGCTCAACAGAAATTGGATGATGGAATCTCCGTGTTGTTGAGTATTGAAAATTGCGACTTCAAATATGATCTCTCTTTTTTTTTCAAGGCTCTAAACAAGACACGTTATTCTTGAGATGACACAGTTGTGTCAACGTCCATCTCCGATACGTCTTCAAGCCTCGTCAGGAGACTGTACCAGAGATCCTTGCCATTTAAATTACTCGAACAAATTGGTTAACTAGAGAACGACGCGCGCGTTCTAGGCGTTTTGTCCACGGGCGATGATATTGAACTTCGTTTCATAGCATTTTTTTCCGGTTAAGTCTATTTATCCACCAACCCATGCATCCATCCACCCGTTTGTACATCCGTCCGTCCGTCCGTCCGTCCGTTCGTCTGTCCATCCATCCATCCATCCATCCATCCATCCATCCATCCATCCATCCACCCAGTCTGTCTGTCTGTCTGTCTGTCTGTCTGTCTGTCTGTCTGTCTGTCTGTCTGTCTGTCTGTCTGTCTGTCTGTCTGTCTGTCTGTCTATCTTGGCGTCTCGTTTTCTTTATGTCCCTCCCGTGGTAGAATCTCGAACTGTCAGGGTACCCTCGTGCGTAAGAATTTGACAAGGTCGTCATCTTTGCTTAAATAAATGATTTATAAATAATAAAATTAATAAATATGAATTTTAATCTTCAATCTTCTCAGAATTTTAATTCAAGAAATAAGAGTGCAGGTTTGGAAGGGGAAGGGGGGTGGGTTGTTGATTTGTTTGTTTCAGTATCATTAGAGAGAAGTATGTCGACACAATAATGATCATTTATAGCTTGTTCACTTTCGTCTGACAGCGGTTACAACAAGATAGATCTAATATGAAATCACTGAGTTTCAATTTTCTCAGATTTTTTTGCATACGAGTCTAAAAGTTGAATGACCAATAGACTCTAAAAAAAAGCCCATTCATAAACGTCACTGCAAACTAAGGTTCCGACACGTTTTCTTTTGGTGTAAGCCTAAAGCGGGTTAAAAGAATAATTGGGGATTTACGGCATACACCAAATACATTAAAACGTTGACATATTGTCGTCAACACTCTGTGTGGTCCCCCCGGGGCGGTGCCACTGACTGATTCGTGTCTTTAGGCCATTCCCAAAGGGGAGACATTTCTCGTTCTAGTGCACAGTATAATTGTATATGGGCTGATCTAACAATGCCATTCTCATAACTGTGCCTGAACTACAATAGGGAACGGCTACTTTTTCTTTCTTCATCCTTACTTTCGTCATTTTCCTTTACTTCTTTTGTATGTTTGTCACACTCTTGTGACCCGCTATTTCCGGGGTGCCTTGATAGTCGAAGCAGACTTTATGCCGTTGAGGCTAGAGAGGTGAGCAGAGTAAGTTTGATTCCCTGTAAGGACTTCTCTGTTGACACCCACCCCTTGGCGCTCATATGGCCTTATGCAGTTGCGAGTGCCGTAAAACCTCTACTAAATTTTAAAACAACAACTCTGTGCGGCTTATCAGGTTCATGGATGCGTCCAGAGACGTGTACTTTGTAGGCCTACGCACACGATTCACGAGACGGGGTGAGTAATTTTCGAGACTCACGCGGAGCCCGTGGAGACGTCTAGTCAGCTGGGGGATGAAATCTACAAGTACACTGAAATGGTATGCACGCATACAAACATACACATACTGACACACATAATAATATTACGCACGCACACGCATGCACGCACACACACACACATACACTGTGCGTGAAGAGAGATTGATATTGCAGAGATACATTGTAAATGTAGATCTACAGATAGACAGCCAAATAGAAGTTTTGGGAAGTTTTTCACTCGGGATCCAAAACTACAAACCGCTAGAGAAACAAAGAACAGAAGCAAAAAGCATGCCATCCAAACACCCGCATTTCTTACCTCTCCGAGGAGAGATAAGAACGTTAGATGTTTGATAGGAAAAAATATGTTAAAAACCCCACATCTGAACACTCACCAACAACAATAATGCCATGAGACAAGTTAAACATCTTTGCCCAGTGGACAAAGGTAGCGCGTGTAGGCCTAATATCATATCATATACCACAGGCAAGTCCATACAGATTTTTATCATCAGCCTTTCATGAATTGAAATTGAAACTATTTTACTTCAGGAGAAATAATTTCTATCATTTGCAACCACCCCCCCCCCCCCCCCCCCCAACGAAAGTTGAAATGGGTAATAACACTTCCTCTTTCAAAAAAGAACGAAGAAGAATAACATGTTACCTTCTCTCGGAGGTCCGCATATAGTTGATAATGCTGTGAGCTTCTCGCGCGCGCGCGAGGCCAACCCCTGCTGGAGGAAGGCCAACGCTACCACCATGGATGTCAACGCGGAGCATGTTGTTGAAGCCGTCAAGGCTTTGCAAAATCCCAAAGGCTCAACTGCGCATGAGATCAAAAGATTCCTCGTCTCCGAAGGTCACATCGACAAAAGTGCGGACGTCAAGCTTGCCATTTTGGCCGCTCTGAAATCCAACAGAGTGGCCAGGCCTCAGGGAGCAAGAGGTCGCTTCTTGTTCTGGGGCTCGAAAGGGTCCACTGAGGGAAGTAAGCTTGGAAGATGCAAACCTAAGAAGAAGAAGAGGAGGAAGCCCAAAAGAGCATCTTGCGGTAGAAAAAGGAAGCCTAAGAGGAAGAAGCGCTCCAAGAAGTCCTGTGGTAAGAAAAGGAAGCCGCGCAAGCCAAAGAAAAAGAAGTGCGGCGGGAAGAGGAAGAAGAGCAACAAAATGGCAATGACTTGTTCCGGCGGAAAGGAGCTGGTCATTTTCTGCGCTCGGAAACCTAAACCCAAACCCAAAAAATGCTGAGAGGATTCAGCAAATCTTAATTTTTTTTTCAAGGCCCTTTTAAGGGCCACCCAAATTCTTTCTAGTTTTTTATAAGATTTTGGTCTGATACAATTTATCGTCATCATCGTCACCATTATCATCTCTCTTCCTTAAATTCTTCTTCTTCTTCTTCTTCTTCTTCTTCTTCTTCTTCTTCTTCTTCTTCTTCTCTCCCTCCTCCTCCTCCCCCTCCTCCTCCTTCTTGTTCTTGTTCTTGTTCTTCTTCTTTATTTGTTGGGAATATCAATGGATATGGCCTCTAAATGACGATTAATGGCCACAGATAGATGTTTCATCGCACTTCTAGTGGAACAATAACTGTAACAACTGAATCCCTCAACAGAAGTGGGCGTGAAATGCGATGAAAAAACAAAACAAACAAATAACAAAACAGAACAAACCAAAGCAAAACGAAACAGTGCCCTTACGCAATTTATAGTAGGTAACAAAATTGATAGTAACTCATTTAGTAAAGGTAAAAGTAGTTGCAAAGATTGTGCATACTCCTCTTTTCCCAGTTTAAAAATTATGTCTCTGCTAAAACCAAAGTTCATCATGATCTTTTTAGCTGTTTGATAAATACGTTGTTCTCAAATAAATTCAAACTACGCTAGACTAATACATGTAAGCCTACAACAAAAATTATTAGACTTCAGTTGGTGGAGGACAACAAGGCAACGTCACTTTGCTAGCCTATTTTAATCACAGGACAGGACAGGAAGTGGCGACAGCCAGAAGAATCTTTGGTGGCGAATTGGCGAAGCAAGGCCAAGACAAGAAGGCCAAGAGCTTTTTTGAAAAGAAAGATAGATTTAACGTTGGGAATATTGGGAGTTGCAAGTTTTCGAGAAGGAAGGGTCGTGCATGGGTAGGCCTCCATGCATAAAGTTACACATCGGTTGTAGTATACTGTAGTCTAACTGCAACCAGTTTTTCCCCACTGGAAAGTATTCGAAGAGGTAAGAAATGCGGGTGTTTGAATGGCCGGCCGTTGCTGCTCGGACCTTTCTTTCTGCAAGAAAACACTTTCTTGCCACTGATGATTCTGCCAGCTTGAATTGTTTTGGTTCCAAGCCAAGTTACTCTGTACTGCTCTCTTCTTCTGTTAGCCCCCCCCCCCTCCCTTCCTCTCTTGCCTTCAACCTTTGCTTCCAGAATGTTGTGTCTCAAGTGAATTACAGTATGTCCTATAGCGTGTGTATGCCAAATTCATTGTATACGTTTTCTGGAAGAGTGTTGGTAATTCTTTTGATTACAATTAACAATTCTCCACCTCTTCATTTCTTACGGTTATATTCTGATTATATTTTGTAAAAGTAAAGTTGTTCCCGCATCCGATTCGGACATTTATTTGCCTTGGCTGGGATTGCCTTGTTAGTGAGACAACTTCCTGGACCTTAGGCATATTGTGGTAGGGTGGCCAGTTCCTTTTCACGCTGCCTTTACTTCCCCAACTCCAAGTCAAGTACCCTTTACTGCTGGGTCTGCAGGAGGGGGCGAAAAAAAATCCGTGTTCGAACAGAGGCTCGAACCCAGATTTTCCGTTTTGGAGACGAGCGCACTAATCGCTCCGCCACTGCACCCTCTATTCTGTATTTCTGTACTGAGAGTATTTCTTACAGTTCTTCAATAACTTTTAATTTTGAAGGCAGTAATCCTTTTTTAATCTTAGCCTAGCCTATACATTGATGGGCCATATATTGCGGAGGGTGGAGGGGAATGCCTTCCCTTGTCGAACTTGATTTGTTAGATGTGGCGGCTATACTAAAAACTTTACCTTAATTCTCCGTGCTTGTAAATCTCATCTTTGGGTAATGCTAATAAATTTATTTTCTTCTGGATATTTATCCGGAAGATATGCAGTGACGATGGTTGTCAATGTGGGTGGGGCTTAGAAATGAGGGTAGGTTGAGTTCAAAGGTAAGATTTCCTCAGTTCAGAGAAGTCAAGATATGTGTGAGTGTGTATGTTTGTGTGCCCGTGCTATGATTGGGTTTGTGTGTCACATACACACACACACTCACACGCACACTACATACAACAGTAGCTGGATTAGGCTGTATGATCGCAGATGGCAAGGCATTCCTAACGAGAGCATAAAGAGTGTTTTTTATTTTCTGGATCTCTTGGGAAAGTCACAGTGTGTCATGGACGTTCACCCCATTGTCAGGGCTTGCAGAGGACTAGCCCTCTCTAACAACAGTTTTTGCAATTTTTTTCTTTTACCTTTTTACATGAAGAGGCTCACTAAGAAAGAACGGTGGAAATGAGCTCAATCTTAGCCTTAACTAAACCTTCAAGACATTTGATTTGCTGTTTCTGTTGGGTTACTATCCTTGTAAGGAGTGACAACAGAACGACTTAGTTATTGTGTTCACTGCAAGCAACTTGTAACTAGACTACTAGAAGTGGCAAATTCTGGAGTCCTTCACTACATCCTGCCACTGAAGATATCTAACTTGTCCATGAACAGAGCAACAGGATTTTGGCAGCTGAATAGACATATTCTGTCTTTGACAGGGGAATTTAGGGAGAGGTGAAGAGGGGTTCCAGAGGCCCAGCCAGTGGGATCAAAGGTCACCTGTCCGATTCGAAAGCAGTAGTCAAAACTTCACACCTACTAAGTGTTCCACTGGCCTCTCTCTCTAATAATGGCATATGTCAGTCTTTCTTACCCATTGCCACAAGTGCTTGAATCTCATAAAGGACTGCTGTTTGACCTAATAAAGACAGAAACAATTGGACTTTGTTTCCACCCTTAGCCCTTCCCATTTGTGTAATAAGCCTAATTATTCAGTTCCACCCCTCCATTGTTTTAGTAAGTGTTTTACGGCACTTGCAACACTAAAAGGTAATCTGAAGATTAGAGGTGTTACAAGAGAGTAACAAACATAAAAAAGAAGGAGGAGAGATCAGGACGATAGATGTTTGATAGGAAAGAAAGAGCAAACCACACCAGAGCACCCGCCAACCACCCACTACACACCCTTCCATGCATGTAACAACAATTTGAGGAACTTTTTTCTTGGCTGACTTAACGATCAGGGCGACAGGCATTGATCAAATTGATTTCACACCTCTGGCTACCAAGGAAAATTTCTGTGCTGGAGCACACTTAAACTCTTTCTCAGGCACTGGTGAGAATTCACACCCACACCACTCTATCTACACCAACATCAGGCTCACATAGATGGGGTAACATCCACCCCATCCATGGGTGGCACGCATACTCTCCTTCTTCACCCAACAGCATGGCGTGAAGTTTAGTCTATGGAATCAAATTTGATAGTTTTGTTTCACATCAAGGCTGAACTGGCAAAACATTTTCCGTCTTAGACACGTAAAAACCCTCAAAGGGGAGTTTTTTGTTGTTTTTTCCCCCCCCGTTAGGAGGTTTCTATTTTATAAAGGTAATTATAGAGGAATTTATCAAAGGGGAAGTGGGGAGATTCTCTTATGACAGGTTTCCGTCAAGGCAGATTGAACTGTAATTGTTTCATTTAACTACTTTAAAATTCCTGCAAATAGAAAGTTTCAGGCTTGGTTCTTCTTAGTTCTTGACAGATACTGTCATTTTTGTCACTTTTCAAGAAATTCAGGACACTGTCATAAAGTTTAATAAATGGAGTCAAACGTGCACTCTTTGGCAGCCAGTGGACTTCAATATAAAGGAAAAAAAGCAGTATTTATTTGAGTGACCGTAGTGAAATCAGGTGCTTGTCAAAATAATAAAATGTAATGAAGCAAACCGGCTTCTTCTGGCGGTTGGGCTATTTTTTGTGAATTTTATTTTTTGGCACAACACTTATGTCCTTTTAAGAACACATTTTTGTGTTGATTTTACGGAAAAACGTTGATCAAACTCACTAAAGTGTAAATTGTAATTTCCGAGGACACTTTGCAAAGCTTGGGAAGTCTCAAAACTTTGGCGGCTGTTTTCTTGCAAATTTTATTTCTGACACCACGTGACCCCACCTCCTTCAACTGCAAATAAAAGTGTCTTGACTTCTATTCCAGATAGATGGGTATTTTGTTCGCCAAATGCAAGACAAATGGACAAGCTTTAAGATAATACTAATAACTCCATACGCCTAAATATTGACGAGCGCCCGATTCCGCTGTGTTGTGACACTCATTCTAATCTAATGAATTGTTCTTGTTGTCCAGGCACATTTGACAATACATTCTTTATATTATTTTTTTTTTAAAATTAGTTTACTTTTATTTAGTTTACTGCTGTGATTATGTTTTTCTATGGGTGGTGGAGACTGATTCAAGTATGTATTTTCCCATAAGGTGTTGCCTCTCTGCGCTATGCAGAGGATACTCTGCGCAATGTAGAGGATACTCTGCGCAATGCAGAGAATACACAAAACATCAGGACGTCTTCGTTTAGATATGAAAGAAAACCATGATAGCGATCAGTCATTCCTGGTGCTCCATCAATTGTTCACTATCCTGTGTGCCTTATGTAGTATGTAGTGTCCATATTGAACAGCAACAACACTTCTGGAAGGGATGCTGTCTTGCAAAACAAACACAGTGTGTCCCTATGGGATTGAGTGTACTCGCACAAGGTAGAGTAAATAAAAGTCCAAAAATACAGCATCTAAGGAAGTTTCTGTTTTGGTCTTGTTTTTTTAAAATTAAAAAATGATTGTAAGAGAATAGAGTGACAGAAACATTAGTAGTCAGGGAAAACTCTGTAGAGTGTTTGCAATAGTAGAGCTTAGGGAGTCATAGGGGTGGCATGACTTTGCAAACCTTTTTTAAATGAGATTTTTATGTTGAATTATGTGCATACTGCACAAGTTGCACCTTTTAAGGTTGACATATCTATATTGTGTGCTTTCCTTTGTTATCGGAGATGCTATAGAGTGCATGCTTTTTGGTTTTGATGGCAAGATAAGAAATCTTTGAGTTAAATTACAAATAAATATATTCATGGACGTTCTTTGACATCACTTATTATATTGCTA